AATTGCGCAGCACAGCTAATTCCCCAACCTCGCTTCAAAATGCTGCTTTTCCCAGGGCTTCCTTGAGGCCCACTAGGCCAAAAATGGAGTGCTGGAGGGTGCTGCAAAAGAAAAAGAAGAGGGAGGGAGGGGAGAAAGAGAAAGAAAGAAAGAGAGGGAGGGAGCAGGGAGAGGGAGGGAAAAAGAAGAGGAAGGAGGACCATAAACCTTGCCACTAGACCAAGAGTCTTTGAACTTGGCAAGTTTAAGACTTGTGGACTTCAAATCCCAGAATTCCTGAGCTAGCGTGACTGAAGGAGGAATTCTGGGAGTTGAAGTCCACAAGTCTTAAAGCTGGCAAGTTTGAAGACCCCCTGCACTAGACGCAGCTTCAGAGGATGCTTTGAAACAGCATAGCCATCCAAGGCTGGAAGGTACCTGGAGGTCATCTAGTCCAAGCCCCTGCCCTGAAAATGAGTTTCTGTCTTTTGACCCCCCCCAGTCACATGACCATGTAGCCATGCCCACTAAGTGACATAGACCACATAGCCATGCCCACTGAGCCACGGCCACAGAACCGGTAGTGATTTACCTCATGATGCCCCTGTTTGCCCATCTTGTTTGCTTATAAATATTGATTTAAAATATATTCATTTATATAAAACCACAAGTTCATGTGTCTCTGACTTCATTGGGGCACCTGCTGTGCAATTCCCTGACACCATCCATAAATAGCAATTAGAAAAATTCAGTTTCTGAACGCTGCACAAAGTATATTGATTATTTGCAAAAGTTTGGATTAGCTAATGTCTGGTCAATTAACTGTGCAATAATTAAAATATATATATGGTATTAACTACTTTAGTGGCAGAAAATCTCAGAATGCATGCTTCTCTTTTAATAATAATTTTATTGGAGATTATATTATATAGATTAAAACTGATACAAAGAAAAATAAAGAGAAAAAGAAAGTTCTCCTTTCAATCCCATGATGTATGATAAAGTATGGTAAAGATTAACAATTTATCAATTTCTTTTAAAATAAAAGCAAGCTACTCTTTATCTCATTCCTCACCCCGTTCTTTATAAATCTATATCTAAAACCTCACTTCTCCATGTTCATCAGGAAAAGCCCATTAAAGGTTATCAGCAATAAAAAACATAATTATTAAAAAATAACTATATTAAACCCCAACTTAAAGCTTTTTGATTCCACAATTATAAACACGTAATTCTTTTCATAGAATAAGAGAGTTGGGAGGAACCTTGGAGGTCATCTAGTCCAACCCCCTGCTCAAGCAGGAGAGTCTATTCCAAAATCAGCCTGTACCTAGGATCAAACTCACAGCCTCCCGATTGTGAAGCAAAAGCTCCACCTCTAGGCCAACTGAGCTTCTCCTGTGTTCTGCAATCATAATAATCATAATGTTCTACTCCATTCTTCAATCATAATAGAAAAAGGTTACTGATTCCATGATAAAAGCAGCGACAAAAGACTCCAGATATATCCTTGTTCCACCGTGCAGGATGGGCCTGAAGGGCTCCTCCTAAGGGTCTAGCCTAATTCAGAAGATTGATCCCATCTTCTCTCCTCTTTCCTCGTGATGGGAATTGTCCACTTGTGCTGCAAAGAGGAGGGAAAAAGCAGGCAGGGTCAGTCTGAGAAGAAGCCAAGTGTCAACTCATAAAATATTTCTCTGGTCTTTTTAGAGTTGCCAACAGAAAGGGAGGAGGGAGCAGTGTAACAGCTTGCAAAATCGAAGCTGCATTCCATACATGTTTTCAAAGATAGTAACTAGGTGACTGAAGTTTCTGCTGTTGAAAATTCTAACTGGAGAGCATATTTGATGACTTTTTGTTATGGATGTGTCCTATTGGGGAATATGCATTATGATATACTCGGGTTGGTGGGGAAACCAGGGTGTCTTATGTGTCTCAGAGCCGGCTACACCCAGGCAGTGCTGGCATGTTAACTCCCAATAAATCCTTTTTAAGCTTTGGAAAAAAATAATAATCAACTGGAAGGGCTACCCCTTATCAGAGGGATCTTGGGTAAAGAGTAGGAACGTCCAAGCCGATAGCCTTGTGACGAGGTTCCATGCAGAAAATCCAAACAAGCCTTGGGGGGGGTGGGGTTTGCTACCCTAAGTCCTATACCTGCAATGTTTGTTTTTTCTTTTGTGTTGTACAGGTCACCTTCAAGAAGTGAGGGGAATCGAATGTCAACTCATAAAATATTTCTCGGGTCTTTTTAGAGTTGCCAACAGAAAGGGAGGGGGGAGCAGTATAGCAGCTTGCAAAACTGAAACTGCATTCCATAAATGTTTTCATAGATAGTAACGAGGTGACCAAGGTTTCTGCTGCAAAATTCTAACTGGAGAGCATGATTGATGACTCTTGGCTAGGGATGTATCCTATTGGAGAATATGAAGTGCAATACACCCAGGGGGTGGAAGGAAAACCAGGGTCAAGGGTGACAATGGATTATGTGTCTCAGAGTTGGCTACACCCACGCAGTGCCGGCATGTTAACTCTCAATAAATCCTTTTTAAGTTTTGGAAGTTTGGCTCGAGACTCATGATTTAAATGGGGGTAACTGCCAGACTCCCGACACAAAGATGAGGAAGCCCATAATCCAGATGGAAGGATTGACACTGATCAGGTCATCAGGCAAAGGAGTAAAGGAGGGGAGGAAGCATGTCATTCACAAAATGAGAGCTGTTATCAGTTGCAGAGGCCTTAAGGAAAGCCTTGCTGACCACAGAAGTTCCTGAAGGCCTCTGACAGTGAAAAAGAGGCTGGGGGTGACACGGTTGGTCAATGGATGACATCTCCCACAAAATGAGACCTGGTGCCCTTTTTGGTGCAAAAAAATATATGACAGTCTTATTTTCAGGGAAACATAGTAGTGCACTTGGAGGGCTCCAATTTATAGGTGGGACAAAATTAAAAATGTTAAGAAAACATCTCGATTAAGATATTTAATAGCTGGGGCAATGAAGGATTGGAAAATGGGTAAGAGCACAGAGTGGTAGCTAATTGATTGAAGACAGCTGGCCACT